TTAACCATATGTATAATATCCTTGGCAGTAGTTCCTCTAGATATTTAAATTAGAATATGCTTGTAAGACAACATATAAACTATTATAATAATGTTCCTGGGGTTAAATAGTTGACTGTTTTAAGATATTATGAAATTGACTACTAAGAAAGCAGGTGACATAAAAACAGAAATACGATCAAGAAATCCTTTGTGGGATAATCCATTATCCAATATGGAAGCTTTCGGCCAAGCAGCTTTGAGAAAAAAAGGAAAACAAGTGCTTCATCAATTTATGTGCTGTAACTGCAATGTCATTTCAAATTTTCTGATGACTGAAAGAGTTGTCTTTATCAAACTAAATCAGAGAACCACAATTTTAAGGATTCTAACAAAAATGAATACCTGAAGTTTAGTAATCAACCCCTTCTTCTCTTCTTCAAACTCTCTGATCTAGTATTCACAGAAACAAGATAAGAATACCTAGCAGTGAAAGGATTAAAGAATGACAAAATCAGACAATGAATAAACCAGCTAGCATACCTGAGCCCTTAATTTCCTAATCTGTCCTTCTTGAGCAGCCTGCTTTTTTGAAAGCTCTTCACCTGGTACATAAAAATGCATAAATGAAGGAATTTCCATAATTATTGATATGATTGCATAAAGAAACCCTCCTTGCATCCACAATAGAACATTGGCTAGGTTGAAATACACTATGAGGCACAAAATATGTAGAACATATTGAGCATCTCAAGAGAAACAGAGACAGACAGGGACAGAAAGACACCTTCAGCCATAACTTGATTAATTATTTCATCCTTTTCCTTCAGAAGAGCAGCTGCATCACTTTTCTTATTCTGCTCCCGCCGAAGCGTGTCCCTTTCCTTAGTAAGAGCATACACCTGCAATCATAAGTTGGCATAGCCCCTCCAATTATCAGGAGCTGAATTAAAAATAGACAAGTACCAATTTCATCACAAACATAACGGGGCACATATAACACCTAGATCAATCCAAGCACGATTATAAACAAGACTTTATGAGAAGACCTACCTTCCTTTCAAGTGTTGCAACCCTTTGATGGTATTCCTCTCGCAGTGACTCGACTTCTGCGTCATTGGATTTTCTCTGTTCAATTATTTTCACCAGTTAATATGTGAACATCTATAAGAAAAATAATTATTAAAATTACAATACTATATGGCTGATAAAGCAAATTGGGAAAGAAAAAAAAAATGATAATGAGAATGTGAACTAGTCAACCATGGTTGGTTTCAAGAAATACCAGAAATTTTCCAAAACATGAAACATATAATGAGACAACCATCAAATTGTATGTGCAAACTTATAATTCCATAACATGATTGTTACACTGACAAAGATCAAGCATCAGGAATGCTTTTGTGCAAAATGAATAGTCAAATTAGAATCTATGCCTTTATTTTACATTTACACACAAACAATTTTGAAGAAAACATTGAAATCAAAATTGAAAGAAGAATTCATTTTAAAATTTAAATATTAACTCAACATAAACCACCCACAAGAGGAAGTAGCATGAATATAGCAAAGATATTTTCATCCAACAATTCTCCACAGATGCTTCATTCAGTGACAAGACATGGGGGCAACTACCTCCTTATAAGAATTTCCTTGATTTGCCTATATGCTGGGTTATAAATGGAAGATGGTTGCAAATACAAGTGCATTATACACCAAGAGTGAAAAATCAAAGTAAAACATGCATGATCAAGTCATTATTTTATCTACTCAAATGAAGGTATAAAAATATTACAAAATGCATACCTTCAAATCCTCGATCGCAGATTTTAATTGCTCATTTTCGTTCATAAACTTTGCAATCTCATCAGCTTTTGCCTGGAAAAGGAATCAAATATATCAGACATTCAGAACTGTAGATATACATACAATGTAACACAACTGCACCCCGAGAGATCCACAACGAAGAAAGAGTATAATAATTCTTCTCTTGTATTTGTTGCTACTTTAACTTAATTACCATATACAGAAATACAAAATGTTTCTATTTTCCTAAATCAACAGACACACACCATCTGCAAGAGGAAAGGTGTTCGGGTTAACTAAGCAACCTTCATAAACCTCCGATATATGTAGACAGCGCTACTAAATTAAAGAAATCCAGTCAAGAAGTTCAGTAGTATTGTCTCAAGTGTTCCACTAAATGAACAGGGATAATAATAAACGGTTGTGATCTTATGAGCTCTCAAATAAGATGCTACCTAATCATTCATCATGTACCTGGGCCTGTCTTGCAGCACCTTGCAATGCAGCTTCCATCATCTTCATCTCCATCTTCACCTTCTCCAATTCAATCACTGAAGAGTCAGACACATTTTCCCCTGAGCTCAGATGTTGATCTTGAACATCAGCTTCATTATCATCAGCTTGTTGCTCAACTTCAGGTTCCTCAACAATGGCATTATGTTCTTTTGAAGCCGATTCAGAAACCGCATCCGAAGCATCATCAGAAGGATTTACACCCGGTGGTTGATTGGTAGAAGATGTATGAATTTCCTCAGTAGTAGCAGAGTGTAAACTGGAGGGCTCAGTCAAACCTCCAGGCTGGCTATCAGTTGGAGTCTCACCTTCAACCATAGCAACTGTTTCAACAATCTCTCCAGCCTGAGTCATATGTCCATCCTTCTGCTCTACTTGTGTCCTTTGTTCATCCACAGTCTCATGCACATCAACATCATGTGCCTCACAAAGAAGAACAGTATGACCCTCCTCAACTTGATCTACTTCAACAGCTCCTGACTTACCCTGCAATGTTTCTGGATTTACTGAGGGTCCCACTACTGAAATCTTGTTGTCATCTTGAGAATCCACTGATTCTGATGGGCCATCATTCTTAACAGTGAGTTCAAAGGGCTCAACTGGCAGTGAAGATGGTTCAGATTCAGATTTTTCAGGCTCTGCTACCAGAGTCTTTGTTTCCTCCACCGTCACAGCATGCTTATCATCTGTTTCTTCCTTGACAACTTCAGTTTCCTCCTTATCAGCCATCTGTTCAGTTGAAGAGTGTTGTAAAGTTTCTGTTTTGACCCCTTCCTTTGCCTCAACAGTAGATGGTTTTTGTGGAGATTCAGATTCCCCTGATGATTTGTCAACCTTTGGCGGATGCTCTGAAGACTCAGCTTTCTGTGATGAATCAACACTACTTCCCTCATTTGTTTGTCCCATAAAGGACATAACAGGATCAAATAGCAATTTCCTTTCAGTAGACGAAGGCCATAATCCTGAAGCTGTCACACATATAGAGGGGACATCTTACTTTCAACTTTCATGCAAAAATACAGAACACAGCATAACTACCAGAATTCCTTTTTCCAAATAAATCCTATCATTGAAAACTCTGTTCTACCCGAAACTAGAAACAAAATGCAATTAAATACGCTAAGGAAATCATGATTTACAACTAACAGAAACTGAAACTTGTATAACCACCATATATAAGCTCCAAAATTAGTATTTTCCTTTCGCCTTGGCTGTGTAAACCAATTTGAGTTGCTCAGCCGTTTTACTTCATGAAGCATAAAATGTAGCTCATTCTCATACCCAGTAATAATATCATTATAATTATCATTACCACAAAAAAAACATATGAACAATGTGTGAGCTTGAGAAGTACCTTCATTACCGGATTCGGCCTTCTCTTTTTCTTCGAACCCAAGGGCGCTATCGAAATTCTTCTCGATGTTCTTGACGCTCTCCTGGAGCTTATTCACGGCCCCAGCGAGATCGGGAAAGTTCCCCAAAGAGACTTTCCCACTGAACCACGCCATTCTTTAAACAAACACCGAATCGGATTCAATTCAAATTCAATTATAAGAACCAACCATAAACTGAAATCAAATTTGAAAACTGATCGAGATCCGACTCCAAATAGGTCGAATCAGAAAAAGGCAAAAGAGAAATGAACCTGGTTGGGGTGGTCCGATTAATTCCTGGTGATTCAAATCATGGCGTATGCTTTTTGAGCTGAAGAAGGAGGCTTCAGTGAGATTCGCGGTTGGTTTCACGAAGGGTGAAATTAGAGAGTGGTTTTGTGGAAAGAGACGGACAATGGGGGGTTGATCCGAATTCTGACTGCTCTGTGAAGTGAATTTTAAGTGCCGAGTACGATGAAAAGCGTACGACGTCGTTTGTTGTCCTAGCATGCTAAAAATAAGTTACTTTCGGGTGCCATTACTTAATCCCAAAATATTTATAAGTTAACCCAACCAAAAAAATCGCATAAAAAAACCCAACTAATTTTTTATATTATGCAGTTCCTTTTTTCTTTTCTTTTTTAATTTTATACAAACCATAGCATAGAAGGGTAATTGTTCTTAACCACCTTGAGCTACAAGCTCCACCACTAGTCTCTCTTCATGTTCCCACTCATAGAAATGGTAATTTTCCCCGCGGATTAGTTTTTGTGATCAACATGAGGTAAAAGATGAGAGATACATGCATTTCTTGTTGGGACAAGGCTCACCCAAGATGTGTATAGATGAGAAGCTTGATTTGCTAGTTGAAAATTCAAATGATGAAAGGTGAGGAGATACAAGAGCAGCTGCTGAGAAACGATTATGAAGGACTTGGAAAACAAGTTCTCTTATTAATAACTGAATTTTCAATGCTTTTCTTCTTCTGAATATGTTACCCTTCATAATTACATTATCATTTACCATAATTTGTTAAGGCTCAAATGGTTCATGCACTTGGTTCCAGATTAAATCACGCTAAGCTACTTGGTTTTAATTCTATTTTTTTGGTGACCAGATGAGAGGATGTGCTTTCTGGGTCAACTTCAAGTAGGGTTCTCCAATGAAAGATGGAAACCAAGAGAGAGAAGGAAATTATGCACCACATTAAAATGTGAGCAGATGTTGTACAAATTGCTCTTTCACTCCACCCACTTCCTGTCAATCCCTTCCCCAAAATACATTCTCATATCTGGAATTACACATCTGCCACAATTTCAGTTGGGATTGATTAGAAATTCACTGGCCCAAGATATCTGATATGGATTTGTTCACGATTTGGAAAAACTCTTCCCTGTGGACAAAAGAAGAAAATCCAGGTGAGTTCCTAGTAGAAAACTATGAACACACTCAACTGAACAGCATCTGCTTGTATTACAACTGAAGTTACACAAAGATTTGGTTGCACCATCTAAATCTAAAAGTCATGCATGAGGTAATCTTTCTTAATTTCAAAGCAAAATAAAATTGTAAGTCATCGGATTTTCTCTCACCGATCAGGCTTGAATAAGAGATATCGATATATAAACCACTGAAACAAATACAGAGAGAGAGAGAGGCAAGTTAATATTTGAATGAAACAAGAGGTAAGTGTGAACAGAGTAAATAAAGATTACATATGTGAAAGTTGCCCTACTGCATTTGCCAGGACAACAATTATGACCGAAGGAAAACTTAAATAAAAACTTTCTCCTGTTTGAGCATCCTTAGCAACCAACTACATCATACATGTAACACATACTTACCGAAGAATAAAGTATTCCAACAAATTCTAGCACACTTGGGATAAGCGGCAACTTGTCAATGGCCTATACACATAAACAGGGAGGAGGGGCATTAAACCGTCAGAACTCCTGCTAAGCTGAAAGTCTTTTTTTTCTTTTTTCTTTTTTTGGTCAAGAAGCTGAAAGTCAGTTCACTGATGAAAACAGTGTATGTGTGTGGCAAAGTTAAAAAATCTGCAAATAATACCATAAGATGTAGACAAATGCAATTGCTCTAAACTACTGTGTTGGTTGTCTTCTTAAAAAATCTATCCTATGTTGGAGCAATATCACTAGGTGTGGAAACTTTGAATTTGATTTCTCAACACAACCCCAAGGTATCTGAAAAATGGGTTAGTAAAGAAACCCAGATGATTCTAGTCGGTATTAGTACATATAAGATCGATCCTATCTACAGTTGCAACAACTCTTGTTTATTTGAGTAAATCATTTCCTGTTAACAACGTAAAGAAGAGAGAGGTCCAGAAATTACTGAAATCAGATTCGATGACGCCCAAAATGCAACTACAGCTGCAAACCCCAAACCAACAAGACCTGGCCGATCTTCTGAGTTATCCCACTGTTTTCAAATCATAGGCAAGATCAAAGAAAATATCGAGACTGACATTTAAAAGAAACCAAAATTAACTTGTCATTAAACTATGAAAAATAAGAGAATGTGGAAAAAAAAAAAAAAAAAAAAAAAAAAAAAAAAAAAAAAAAAAAAAACAGACACCGACCGACCAAGACCAAAAAAACGTTGAAAACTATTAATTCTTAGCTTATTAGCGGAACATATCGCAGTCAATTATCTCATAGGTGAGAAACAAACACCCTTTCTTGCAATTTAATAAAGGAGGAAGCTATGAACTTCACACACAATTGAAAACCATTAGAGGAAAGGAAAGAAGAAGGGAAATATTGCATAAAGATCCAAGCTCACCCAAGCATACCATGATTTGATTTTGCCAAAAAACGCTTTTTTGATTGAATAAACACAAACCAGACATAAAGAAGATGTGATTACAAGAACACAGAGGGAAAGAGCTTACGACATTCTGAACAGATTTTACAATACTAAGGGAGTTCGAAGACTCCGAGCTTTCCCCAGTAGCCTTCACCACAACAGAAGCACGATTCTGTCTCTCTGCAATGTAAGAAAATTATGCACCTAATATGAGACAACAATGCAGCCAAGGTATGGAATATGTGCATGTCAAATTGCATTTGATATGACACTCAGACACATAATCATCAACCCCAAAAAATTCTGATAACTTAAACCTGGTGTTTCGGATTCAATTGTTTACTTCAATCAATTCCCTACAGAGTTTCTATTCTAAATTGTTGGGAAGTTCCACTAAAATTACTTCTGTTGACCTAATTTTTTCTTCTTCTTCTTCTTCTTCTTCTATAAATTTCATTACAGAAATTGATATCTTATATTGCATTAGCTAGCTTATCTGAGTTTTCCAATCCCTTTAAATCTTATAGTCAAATACCATAATTCAACAAATCCTTCCTCCATGTAACATGGAAACAGAGAACTTTGACCAGATTGCCCCAATTTTAAACTAAACTAGCTGATTTTCAACTTGACACTTCACTGAAAACAACCAAACAGACACCCTCAACATAAAATTGATTATTATTTAAACTCAGTTCATCAAATAGAATAACTTTTTTTAAAGAAAATAAAATAACAAACAAATAAAGCAGAAACTCTCTCAAATAAAACAGAGTAGTTTAACTACAACTCAAATTTCAAAGAAAGAGCAGCTTCGGTATCTCTGAGGAGGCTCACCTCTAATGGAAGAAACTGGGAGTTTTGGAAGAGCTCTGAAGAAGGTATTATTTCCACCATGGGCGGCCAATAGTGGTGGAGGCAAGCTTGCAATAATGGACGCCATGCTACCTGAAGAAAACTCCAACAAAATTTGCGCAAATAAGAAAAGAAAAACTAAAAATTCAGAGAAATGGATTTCCCCTTTGAAGTCCGAAAGTATCAGATGACTGAAAACAAGACCAAAAGCTTCTGTAACTTATGAATAAGATTGATAGTGCTCTAGGCACCGCTCAATTTTTAAACTTTTTTTTTTTTTAAAATATTTATGGAAGGCACAACTGCTTCATTAATAAATAGACAAATGTGTAAAACAATAGTTTATTAAAATACAAATAATAATAAAATAAGAAGGAAATAAGAATCTATTTCCAACAATAACTCTTTGTAAATGAATTTTTATTAATCAAGAAATCTATTTACACGTATTTCCCTTTCCTTTTTATTTTCAGTTTCAAGAAATCAAGAAATCAAGATAAATGATCATTTTACAAATCTTATTCACATATAATCAATTTGGGACTTGAAATTACCTAATTGCCCTCCATATAAAACCATATCTATTGACCCTTTATTGTTGCAACTCATTTAATGTGAAATAATGTTAGTTTCTACGGTCTTGTTGCCTCGTGGTTTAATCAATTCAGGGAATTTGTGCTTTCTCAATGCAATGCTAAAGGCTCTTCTATCATGTTCTCCTTTTGTTCGGCTTCTGCCGGAATTGAGAACGCGCAAAGTGCCTAAGGTCTCTATCTGTAGCAGTGGGGCTAGACCAGTCAAAATTGGTGCACATCCTATATTAGATAACTCTGTGGAGGGAGATGAGATTGTTTAAGGGGGAGTATAGGGAAACTTAGAGAGAAGCTTTCTCTGTTTTTAACTATTGACCATGTGAAATATAAACTTGCGGGAAACTCCAGGGAACTTAAGCTCCGGTCCTATCAAAGTTTGTGGGATAGAGATGGCCAGTCATTAGCTTAATGTCCTACCACTTAGTTTGGCATCTTGATCTTGATCTTGTTTTTTCTTTCTTTTTTCCTGCAGAGGAAAGACGAACTTTTTTTTAGAGAAGGGTGGGTGACTATCAAAAAGCAAGATGGTAGAAAGAATTTCATCTTCAAGATGGACGCAGACTTACAGTCATCAATTTGTTGCAACTTCCTCCAGCATTGTACTGAAATGCTGGATTTGGAATCAAAATTTTGTTACTCTTTTTTGAGCCAGCAATTTGTATATTGTATTTCAAGGGATATATATAATGCCATAGTCTGACTGAAGAAGTATTAATTTATGCCGAGCCGTCCTTAGCTTGGGGTGGTTATCATTATTAGTATAGAATTTTGTACCTATAATTTAAAATTCCATTATAATAAGGTGGAAAATTCTCAATCTCATCATTGTGTTTGCAAAATGATGCATGCCTCTACTACTTTCAGTGTCAAGAATGCCTACAATTTCGCAGGGCATGTATATCATTGGAAGAAAAAATGTAAGGGGAAATGTCTGATATAATCACTTTTTGTTTCTTTATGCAGTTTTGTCTTGACAATTTCTGTGCCTTTCCCCTTTTCTTTTCAGATTGCACAAGGAAAAGAGAAGAAGCGCCCAACTTGTTTATTGAATTTTTATTGCTTTTGTATTGCTTGTCTATTATCACTTTATTGCTTTTTTATTGCTTTCGTATTGCTTTCGTATTTCATGTTTGTTACCACTTCATAATCTACGTGACATTAAAATGGAGTGAAGCCTTGATTTTGGGTTGGTTTTCTTAATTAATATAATTTGTTGCAGGGAAAGCAACTATGAGTTTGATTTATAAAAAAACAATAATGGAATCACATTCTTACACCAATAGCTGAACACAAATCAATCATATTGAAGAGATACATATATGGTGCTTGTTGTACCTTATTTATATGATAATGAATAATGATCTAGCATTTTCTGTTACAAAAAAACCTTATACAATCAAGCGTTTTCTTTTACAAAATATCCTTATAAGTTCATTCACAAGATATACTTGGAAAAACAGGCGATAAGAAACAAATATAAGTACAATAATCAAGCAATACAACAACACACAATGGCAATACAATACAATACAAATGCAATAAGGGGCAATATAATGGCAATACAAAAACTCCACATTCCCACTATATATTCATAATCTACAACATATTACAAAAAGGACGTGACGTCCTTAATGGAATCACATTTTACACTCCTATATCGTCAAAATACCCTCGAGCAAGGAATGGGCGGAGAGGCTTTTGTAAAAGTTGAGGTATAATGATCTTCCTCTATTCAAAAAATAACAATCATATCTGTTTTTGCATAATGATTTTTATTTTGGGTCATTTGAGCATAGAACCCTTCATGATTTGAGTAGAGTTCTGATAATTCCTTGTGATGTCTGAGACCACAATTGAACTTCATAATTTAACCCAAAATTTTCATAGAAGTGAAAGACATATACCCTGACAGTGACATAACCAGTTGTTATCAGACCAATTACGGTTGTCAGGAAGAAAATATGATAGGGTACATCCACTATTGGTGAAGCAAGATTAATAAACGTGTTTGGCAAGACGGGAGTCAATGGCAGAAACAACATGTAGTTCAAAAGTCCCTATCTTCTTTTAGCCTCCTAGAAGAAAAAATAAATGACTCACTCCTATTTTTGAAGTTAGTATCAATGAGAGATATGGAGACATTTGAATTTACCTGGTTTTGGAAAAACTACACCTTGTCAGGCCAAAGAGAGAAGACAATGTGCCTCCCTATCAACTTTGACAAGAAATAACAAAAAGATGCACTAGCAATGGCATTGAAAACCACCAAAGCTACACCTTTGAAACCCCAAACGGGAACCAGCAAGCAAGGACATGAATACAGTACTAGTGATCATGAAAGTCTGCATAAATATATAAACCATGCAGTACCCCAACAGAACTTGAGCAGTGTAGTCACTTGTGTAGTCCTCAAGGTGAACTCTACCCAGAAGAAGACAATGAAACAATAAATAAATAAAACTGACAAAATACTATGAAACTAATATTCCACAATCTCTCTTTAAATGAAGAACATATGACAAGGACAAAACACAATACATCATTCGTTAAACTAGGGGAGTAGATTAGCTATAACAAACTACGTTTCTATGAAACCTACTTGTTTGATTGCCAGAGTTTACTTTTTAGCTTACATTCTTTGTTCTTAACTCCTACTTTAACTATACTAAGTCAAGGAAACAACAATCTCATTCCAAATTTCCTATGTTGCCTTTCATACTAAGGAGACTATATATTAATATTTAAGGTGTAACACACACAAAAGTTAGAACCAGAGATTGGTAAGCAAGAAAAACAATATTTTACTTTCACAATCTTCATCCCAGTTCCTGCCCATATAATGAAACCATTGTATAGTAAAATAAGAACCATAACCCACAACAACGATGAGCTTATAGCATATTACCAGGCAAACTAGCAAAGAATTTATAATGATCATGCACTTTCATCGAACAAGAGTTCAATGAACTCAGGAGCTTTCTACTAAACAGTTCCTAAAATTAGGTGTTCTAGTTCAAGTTCATGATACTCACACACTCGATTTTCGTTTAATTTCGAGTACAATTAAGAGCATGCTCTCACATTCCAAAAGTTTTCAACCATTCTATGAAACCCTCCACAAACAACAATTCATAGTCCATTCTAATTCAGTCCATTCTTATATGTGAATAAGATTTGTAAATTGATCATTTGTGAATGAAAGTTGGGCTTGGGGCAAAGTGATCATCTACGTGTATTTCCCAAAAAGAAACCCTCAATCGTACTCAATATCAATATTAAACAAATCTAGTTTTGTTCTGTCATGTTAGAACTGGTACAACAAGTTTTTTTTTATAAGTAAAGGGGTAATTAACGGTCTTAATTTCCTACTTTTAACTAATTAGCATTTGGTGTAGTGGTAATTGTGTTTATTTCGTTAGTAAAAGTCTTGAATCTAATTACATTGATACGAGAACAATAATATATATTTGTGATGTTTTTAATACCTAATTCCATATAACCATGTAGGAATATGATTAAGACTTTGTAAACCTCACTTTAAAATGTATTTTGTTGTAACTTTTTACACCATCCTCTGTTTTGGATTTTTACTATTATGTTTTTTTGCCTTTTTGCTTGTAGTAATTGCTTAGCTTTTTTTTGTTTCATTGCATGGCAGATGTGGTGGTAGGTTACAAATGTTATGGTGGCAACGGAATGGTTATTTGATGTGAAACTCGATCCCTGTTGGAACATATGGAATATTTGTACGGGATGCTATTTCATATTATTTAATACTTAAATTGCATATTGAAGTTTTTGTAATACTTTCTCAAATAAAAAATATTATTTGAGTTTGAACAGACTACATGAAAGCACAATTTATAGCAAACCTTTTGACGCTAGTAAGTTGATTTATTTTAAGGGCTGTTTTTTTTCTTTTTAATTTTTGATTTTGGGTTTTTTGTAATTACATTTTCTTTTCTTTTCTTTAGAGGTCATCATATATCTAGAAATTACAGAGATCTAGAAATGATTGAATGAAAATAGCTAAAGTAAGAAAGTCAAGCCCACGTAAGATAAGTGACAGTTCTATGTTTACTGATAAAATAAAATTAGACTCATATGGATTAAGTGGTTTCATGTTTAAAACAATTTGCATAACTCTTGTCTTCTTAACGTGGTGCTGCACTATTTTTAATGCACCATCCTCCAATTCATGGTAGTGGTTGGAAAGCTTAGGCACCTAATTAATATTTGTGTGAAATCCCTCTCCAATCGCTTGTATTAAACAAAATAAAAATAAAGAAATAAAGAAATATTGAATTCAATGTTGATGATTAAATCATTTATGCTAGTGGGAATCATGGTTCTAAACTTAAGCTTAGTTTAGTCGATCCACAAATTTTCCCACGTGTGTGTATATATATATATACACACACCTCATACCATCATCATGTATCAAAGGAAAACAATCCAACCGGGGGATTGTTTTAACTAGATCACAAGGCATAATCCTCAATACTCATGTGGTTAGGGAATGAGTAGTCCAATTAAGGGACTATTGCTCCCCAGACACGCACGGTAGAATTCTCAATACACGTGCGGCTGAATATCCCTCCTACGCGCGCAGACTGCCAGTCAAGGCCTTTGGTACACCTAGTCAAGGGTGCCCGGTATCTCGACACACCTCCAAAGAGTTACTACGTGTCTAACATATCAAGTATAAAAAACAAAGGAGGCACATATCATAGTGCACATCATGTATCGGGGGGGAAACAATCCAACACAATGATTGTTTTACTAGACCACATGGCAGAATCCTCAATACTCATGTGGTTAGGGAGTGAGCAGTCTAACCGGAGGACTATTGCTCCCTAGACACGCATGGTAGAATCTTCAATACATGTGCAGCTAAAACAAGTCTTACGGGCGCGGAATGCCAGTCAAGGCCTACGACACACCCCGGCAAAGGTGCCCGGGTCATCAACATCTCACACGTCGGAAAATACCTCAATGCATGTGTGATTATCATCCATATCGAATAAGAGAAGATACATATGATGGTGCAATTCACAAACCCATATATATAATATAAGATAATAAACCCTCCCTTAATTCAAATTTTTTTTTCAAATTCTCAATATTCCAAAAGACCAGAATATTTATTCATAGTATAGAAAATAATCTCTCAAAAACATAAATTCCACAACCCAAAATATTCATAAACTCCAAACATCAAAATAAACTATGATAAATCCATAAAATACCATAAATCACAAAATAAACCATATTATAAATTTATAGTCTCCATAATCAATAAAATACTTTCCTAATCAAACCCCATATCACCCAATCCCTATATTTTAATAATAACCATAAAAACAATAATAATACTTGGAAAACCCATATCACATTATGATAAAATCAATAGTCAAAACATATATCAAATTTCAATAAACCAAATCAGCCAAGTTCTAAATCAAATCTCATTTAAAATGTCATTTTATTACTTCCCGAAGGACGAGATAGCCCCGGAAGACTTGGGGTCAACCGAGCAGTCAAACTTCCCATATTGATAAATTGGGCCCGTGGGACCCATGACCTCGGATTTCTATTCCGAATGTATCTATAAGTCTAACAGAGTTTACTAAACATGTCCCAAGAGTTTGGTCTCGATCGCACGATCGGATGGTAACCGGGTTGCCTAACAATCCACCAATCAAAGACATGCTAATGTCGATGCCTGAAATGATCATTAGTACAATTTGGTGATGGGTAATGGATGCACTTTTTGATATTGACTTTTTAAAATGATTGTGACCGAGAGAGGAACAGTCCTCGACCTTAGATATACATGGGCAAATACAATTTGTATAACATTAGAAATTATAAGTTAATAACTTTTAGGGGAAAAAAACATAAGTCATGCATTTCTTGAAAGAAAAATTAGCTCATGATAAGAAAAATCAACCAAATAAGAGATCAAAACATGAACTTCAAGACCATTGCAACAAATCGAAACATAAACTTCAAAAAATACAAGATATGAACTTCGAGAATTCAAAACATGAACTTCAAGAATTCAAAACATGAACTTCAAGAAATTAAAACATGAACTTCAAGAAATCAAAACATAAATTTTAAGAAATCAAAACATGAATTTCAAGAAATCAAAACATGAACTTCAAGAAATCAAAACATAAACTTCAAGAAATCAAAACATGAACTTCAAGAATTCAACACATGAACTTCAAAAGAATTGCAACAAGTCAAAACATGAACTTCAAAAAATCAAAACATGAACTTCAAGAGCATTGAAACAAGTCAAAACATGAACTTCAAAAAATTAAGACATGAACTTTAAGAATTCAAAACATGAACTTCAAGAATTTAAAACATGAACTTCAAGAGCATTCCTGGAGTAACAAGGGCTGCTTGGCTTGCTCTCGCTGCAGCAGTCGTAGATCTTTTTGCCTTGGCCGCTCTCTTTTCCCTTGCAATTATTGCTCTAGCCAAACTATAAGAGGAGCATGACGTCACAGTGAAAGACAACAAGGTAATCCCCCCCCCCCCCCCCCCCCCCCCCCCCCCCACCCAAAAAAACAAATAAAATGGTCATGTTTTTCCATTCCTCTATGAATTGCATAGCCTTATTAAATTTCTTAAACATCTCAGGCAACTCAGAATAGAATTTCACAACCACCTCAGGACTTAAAGCCTGGTTGAATCTCTCACCCGCCTCAGGTATCTCACAACTCAAAATTTTCCAAATGCTTTTCATTTCTTTCCCTTCAATCTCTCTCTCTCTCTCTCCTCTTTGTTCTTCCAATTCATTTTGTGGCTTATATATTTTAAACTTCTTGATTGTTTGGAAGCATCAAGCACTAGGGAGCACGTTCACCTATTGGAGTCGAAATAACCAGAATTAAGTAACAAAAGCATAGCGCATGATGATTGCGATGTTTTTACCGAAAATGGAATCATTTGGTAATTTGCTTGTGAAAAAAGAATATATATATATATATATATTAGAATTACTAAAAATAGGATAGTAAGTTATAAATGTCAAAGAAAGTAAACTTAAAGAATTTTATTGTGAATTTTTTTTTCTTCATGTTCCTGTGTTTTCACTTAGTAACCAAATAGAGCATTGATTAGTTTTTGCTTGCTTAATAATTTTTGGTATTGTGTTTTAATGTTCTCTTTTTTGTTTTCTAATCACTTACAATATTGCAACATGGCTCATTATAGAGGCGGAAAAGGTAGCTAATTAAGGGTTTGCAACTCGTGATAGTGTTGCAACTCAACGACTATTGTAGTGATTATAGGGCTAGTGCGATTAACTTGTTGTCGTTTGGTGTGACAACATCGTCTTGTTTTAATATGGACAATCTCATGGATTTTTCTCACCAACTCAGGTAAATCACACCTGAGTGTCTTCCAAACTTGTCTCACACCATTCATTTTTTCTCTTTCCCTTCTCTCTTTTACCCTTCTTTCTATTTATCTTTCTTGTTTGTTGATATATAAAAATTTTCATCTTTGAGTAATAAAACTTCTATAGGTTGAGAGGTATGAGGTATGCAGCAAGCTCTTGCTTGCTTCAGCTGTGCACCCGAAGTAATAGAGGAACAAGGTAATGATGTTCGTTTCTCCAATTAGGTTAATTCGGGTCATTTCCTAAATCGGGTTAATTCAGGTTGTTTCCCCTAAATCAAACCATGAACTTCAAAAAATCAAGCTCTTGCTCACTTCAGCTGTGCACTCGAAATAACAGAGGAACAAGGTAACGATGGTCGTTTCCTCAATTGGGTCAATTCGGGTCGTTTTCCCAATCGGGTCATTTCCTCAATTGGGTTAGTTTAGGTTGTTTCCCCAAAATCAAACCATGAACTTCAAAAAAATAAAAACATGAACTTCAATATTTCCAAACATGAACTTTAAGAATTCAAAACATGAACTTCAAGAGCATTGAAACAAATCAGAACATGACCTTCAAAAAATCGAAACAAAAACTTCAAGAATTCAAAACATAAAATATAAATAAAGAGAGAGAGAGAGAGAGAGAGAGAGAGAGAGAGAGAGAGTAAGGAAAACATACCAGAGGACATGCATATGTAATCAGAGAAAATTAAGCAAAGCAAGACTGCTATAACAGAGGTAGTCATATGTCAATTACAAATAATAAACTTAAAGATTTATATGCGATCATCACATCACTCTTAAAATATAAATTCTCACTTTTTTCCGAAACCACAGAACGAAGAAGCAAACATAAATACACAATGAAGAAGCAACATAACATAAACACACAACGAAGAAGCAACATAACATAAATACACAACGAAGAAGCAACATAACATAAACAACAACATCATATTTAATAGATCGAAGAGAGAACCAAAAAACCTAATTATCATGGATTTTTCCCATCAACTCAAGTAAATCACCCCTGAGTGTTTTCCAAACCTGTCTCACACCATTCATTTTTTCTCTTTCCCTTCTCTCTTTTACTCTTCTTTATTCATCTTTCCTCTTTGTTGATATATAAAATTTTTCATCTTCGAGTAATAAAATCTCTATAGGTGGAGGAAGGAGGTAGGAAACAAGCTCTTGCTTGCTTCAGCTGTTCACTCGAAATAACAAAGGAACAAGTTAACGATGGTCGTTTCCCCAATTAGGTTAATTCGGGTTGTTTCACCAATCGGGTCAATTTGGGTTATTTCCCTTATTGGGTTAATTCGGGTCGTTTCCCCTAAACCAAACCATGAACTTCAAAAAATTAAGACATGATCTTTAAGAATTCAAAACATGAACTTTAAAACATAAACTTCAAGAGCATTGAAACAAGTCAAAATATGAACTTAAAAAAAATCCAAACATACACATCAAGAATTCAAAACATAAAATATAAATCAAATAAGAGAGAGAGAGAGAGAGAGAGAGAGAGAGAGAGAGAGAGTAAAGAAAACATACCAAAGGATATGCATATGCGATCAGAGAAATTAAGCAAAGCAAGACAGCTATAACAGAGGTACTCATATGTCGATTACAAATAATAAACTTAAAGTTTAACATGCAATCATCACATCACTCTTAAAATATAAATTGTCTCTTTTTTCCAAAACCACAAAACGAAGAAGCAAACATAAACACACAACAAAGAAGCAACATAACATAAACAACAACATCGTATTTAATAGATCGAAGCATGAAGAAAGAATAAAACAGAACAGAGTGCCAAAAGAGAACACAAAAACCCAAGTATCCCTACTATGTGCTCCTTATTGCTTGCTCCTTACCAATCAAGAAATTAAAAATATATAAATCACAAAATGAACGGGAAGAACAAAGATAAAGGAGTGAGAGAGAGATTGAAGGGAAAGAAATGAACAAAGTATAAAAAAACTTTGAGTTCTGAGTTACCTGAGGCGGTTGCGAATTCAACCAGGCTTTGAGTTCTGATGTCCCTTAAATGTTTGAGAAATTCAGTCGGTCTGTCCAATTCATAGAGAATTGAAAAACGACGACTATTGTAGTTGTTGTAGGGGTTGCTGCGATTAGCATGTTGTCATTCGGTGTGACAACATGGTCCTGTTTTAATATGGCCAAGCACATAATGCAAGGGAAAAAAATCTGCGACAATGAGAGCAAGCCAAGCAACCCATCCTTCTTGTGTTGCTTGCACTGTTGCTGCTGCAACCACTCTTTGCCTTTGTACTCTGGCAATAAAACGCAGCCGACACAACAGAGGATGCTAAGCTAACCCCAACAGTATATAGAGTCATCATCTTCCAATTATCCACAAATTGGACAATCTCTTGGATTTTTCCCACCAATTCAGGTAAATCACCCCTGAGTATCTTCAAACCTGTCTCACACCATTCATTTTTTCTTTTTCCCTTCTCTCTTTTACCCTTCTTTCTATTCATCTTTCATGTTGATTGATATATAAATTTTTTTATCTTCGAGTAATAAAACCTCTATATATAGAGATAGGAAGTAGGGAGCAAGCTGTTGCTTGTTTCAGCTGTGCACCCGAAATAACATTGGAACTAGGTAACGATGGTCGTTTCCCCATTTGGGTTAATTCGGGTCAAGAGAGAACAACATAGTACAAAGCGCCAAGTGAGAACAAAAAATCTTAATTATCCCTACTACGTGCTCCTTACTGCTTGCTCCTTACCAAGCAAGAAATTAAAAGGAACGATTTCCGCTGCGGCTGTGGTAGAGGTGGCAGGCCAAGTTGCCCCGAAGTAGTCCCCTGAGGAAGCACCCATCGTTGGATGTTAGAGCTTCTGCAACATTGCAACAAGTCAAAACATTAATTTCAAAAAATCAAAACAACAACTTCAAGAATTCAAAACTTGAACTTTAAGCAATCAAAACATGAACTTCAAGAATATTGAAACAAGTCAAAATATGAACTTCAAAAAATCAAAACATGAACTTCAAGAATTTGAAACATGAATTTCAAGAACATTGAAACAAGTCAAAACATGAATGTCAAAAAATCAAAACATGAACTTCAAGAATTCAAACTATTAACTTCAAGATCATTGAACAAGTCAAAACATAAACTTCAAAGAATCATAGAGTGCCCTCCCCAACCACAAGGGAATGAGTACTATTAGCATTCGACACCACTGACAAAATGGTTGGTTTGTGACTAATAAGTTGGCCAGGATCAAATGTCATGTGATCCATAGCACCCGAGTGAATAATTCATGTGAGCTCTGAAGATGACGTATGAAAAGCAGAACCTTTGGTGGTGGCGATAAAAGCATGAGCCCGAGTAGCTGGTTCAGCAGGAGTGACTGCATGCATCTGTGAGTCTACAAGGATGGAGTGCATCGTAGGGGGTCCTGACATCGCAGTGGAAGTAAGAGTTGATATAAATGTGTGTTTGTGGTTAAGACCAGCCAACCCCTCCAAGATGCCCTTGTCCTCTTCCACCATCAATTGCTGCTGAGGGAGTTTGTTGCTTACTTGCTTCGGAAGTCTGTAAGCCAAATTCATTTAATTTTACTTTATCTGGCATTTATATCTTACTATACTATTTTAAGTAATTATAATATATATTTTTTTTTCAAAAGCCAATTACAAATTCATACCATTTCCAGTAACCATCATGCGCTCTGCTCCTTCTGTTACTCTGGTTATTTCGGCTCCAGCAGGCTCCCTGCTCCCTATCAATCCAGAAATCAACAAGATATAAGGCATGGAAAGAACAAAGAGAAGAGAGAGAGATGAAGAGAATCTGGAATACCTTGAGTCTTGAGATACCTGAGGCCGTTGAGAGACTCAACTAGGCTTTGAGCCCTGAAGTGGTTGAGACATTGAACTCAGACGTGCCTCAGATATTCGAGAAATTGAATCGGGCGGTTCAATTCCTAGATGATTGGAAAACCACGACCATTGTATCTGTTTGGGGGGCTGCTGTGTTCACCTGCTTGTCTTTGACTGTGACGGCAGGCTCATGTTGTATTATGGCCAGAGCCCAGAACGAAAGGAAAAAGAGAGCTGCGGCTGCAGTTGCGGCAGCGAGAGCAGGCCAAGCAGGCCAAGCAGCCCTTGTTGCTCCAGGACTGCTCGGGCTCCTGGGAGCGAGAACGGCTGCGGTAGCGATAGTGACAGTGGGAGCGGCAGCGGCAGTGGCAATGATAGAGAGAGCAAGAGCGGCAGCGGCGGCGACAAAGGCAGCGGCGGCGGCGACATAGGGAAAGGCGGAGGTGGCAGGCCAAGCAGCCCCGACATAGTTAGAGCTTCTACATCTATCTTTTTTTTCGGTCGAGACTCGAAAGCATCTGCATCTATCTAGTAGACACCCAACTATATATCTAGTTTCTGGTGGATTAGCGTTTCTGTTCTTCAACTTCAATGAAATGAAATGAAACTTTATTTTATTATTGTCTTCAGATATTTTTGTTGGTATTTTTTTATGCGCTTTTATTAGGATTTCCTCTTCATCATATATTTTTTTTATGCGGCTGAATAAAAGAATAAATTAAATTAAAAGAATAAATATGTCACTTAATTCCAACTTGCCCATTGAACCAGAACCTGAGTCATCTCTCACAAACTCCCCAACTGCTCCAAGCTTCCCACCTGACCATACATCCTCACCTCCAACCGATCCGTCACCTTGTCGTAAGTCTGAACGCCACCGGGTACCACTTGGGCATCTCAAGGATTACGTGTGTTCTCAGGTCACGCTACCGCCCGCATCCCAATCGGCGTTCTCGTCTCCAAGTCACACTTCAGGTACTCGTTATCCTTTGTGCAATTTTCTTTCTTATCATCGATACTCACCTGCCCACCTTGCCTTTATTACTCAAATAAGTCGCCACGTGGAGCCTCCTACTTATGCAGAAGCTGCCACTGACCCTAATTGGCAACAGGCCATGGATTCTGAACTCCAAGCCTTGGCGCCCAACCAGACTTGGACTCTCACCTCTCTTCCACCAGGGAAAACGCCTATTAGTTGCAAGTGGGTTTACAAGATCAAGCATCGTTCTGACGGGTCCATTGAGTGGTATAAGGCCCGCTTAGTTGCCAAGGGCTACACTCAGACTGAAGGCTTGGATTATCATGACACCTTTTCTCCCACGGCCAAGATGATTACAGTTCGTTGTCTCCTTGCGGTTGCTGCCGCTCACTCCTGGTCTATCCACCAGCTTGATGTTCACAACGCCTTCCTTCATGGTGATCTCTATGAAGAAATTTATATGACTCTATGAAGAATTAAGAACAGAGTAAAAGAAAGGTTGGAATTGTATATTTCATTCATTCTTGTACAGTGAGAATACCACTGTTTATATACACTTGAAAAGAATAATCTGGAATAGAATTGGTTACAAAGAATATGGAGATGATGACAGGTGTAGGATGGATATATGACTAGTAAGTTCCTTCTCTTCTAGAATATTGCTGTAGGTGGAGACTTGGGAAAAATAGAGAAGGCGTCCCGAGGCTAGATCCTTCACAAGACATTCAAAAGGAGTGAACATTAGTATGCAGTGGTTATCACAAACAAAGTGATGCACAGATAACAGATTTTGAGTAATGCGAGGGACATGTAAAATATTGTTCAATTTAATAGAGGAAGAAGAAGCAGAGGCTGTGGAGGAACCAGTATTGGCAATCGGTAAACCTTCACCACTGCCAACGAGGACTTTGTCATTGCCTTGATAGGGGAGCTGGTGAGAGAGATTGTGAAGGTCAGGAGTGACATGGTTGGTTGCACCAGTATCTGCATACCAGAGGGAGCTGGAGGGGGGAGGAGAGTGGGTAGCAGTCATGGCAGTGAAGCGAGCAGGAGGGGAGCGGCCTTGATAGGCGAAGTTGGAGCGATGGCGACATTCGATGGCGGTGTGGTTGGGTTTGTTGCAAATTTGACATCTGATTTTAGGGGTTTGACGGAAGCGATTGTGGGATGAGTGGGAAAAGGTATTGGGCTGAGAGAGGTAAGGTGGAGTAGATGGGGTGGGTAGGAGAGGTGGGTTGGACGTGTATTTGGGAGGATTTGGGCCGGGAGAAGGGCGGGAAGAGGTGGGCCTGAAATGAACAGAGGTATGAAAGGCCTGAAAAGGGGCAGATGAGTTAGAAATGGGATTTAGGGTGTCACGTTGTAGAATTTCAATCTCTTCACTAATCAGGAGACCATGAAGAGCATCAGGGTCGATGGGGTCAGAGCGGACTCTGATCGAAGTACCAAAAGAGTCATACTCAGGTGGGAGGCCACGAAGAATGTGAGCAATAAGGTCAAGATCGGCAAGGGGAGCCCCGGCGGCGGCTAGACCGTCGGCAAGAGCCTTGATTTTTTCAAGATAGAGCATCATCGGGTCAGATCTCTTTTTCAGGGTTTGGAGCTGACCCTTAAGCTGAAGGATATGAGAGCGAGTGATGGCAGAGAAGCGTTTCTTGAGGTTGTCCCAGAGAGATTTGGCGGAGGAGCAACCGACTGTATAAGGGAGAACAGACTCAGAGATGGCAGCATGGAGCCAAATTTTGCAGGTACGATCTCTGGCAACCCATGTAGAATAAGCGGAATTAGATTCAAGGGTAGAAAGAAATAGGGGTGGGCATTGGTCAGAACCATCAAGAAGGCCATAGAGGTCAGCATTCTGCAGAATGGGAGTGAAGAGGGATTTCCAGATAAGATAGTTATCTCTGTTGAGTTTGACAGGGATGAGAGTGGCGATGTGGTGGGAGGGAATGGCAGAAGCCGAAAAAGGAGAGAGAGAGGAAGAGGAGGAAGAAGAGGAGGAAGAAGAGGAAGGAGGAGGTAGAGAGTCAGAGGAGGCCATAGGATAGTACCGTAGGGTTTTAGGCGGCTGATACCATGTGAAGAATTAAGAACAGAGTAAAAGAAAGGTTGGAATTGTATATTTCATTCATTCTTGTACAGTGAGAATACCACTGTTTATATACACTTGAAAAGAATAATCTGGAATAGAATTGGTTACAAAGAATATGGAGATGATGACAGGTGTAGGATGGATATATGACTAGTAAGTTCCTTCTCTTCTAGAATATTGCTAAGCTGGAGATTGTATGCATTGGATTTGCTGTGTATTTGCACCTATGATTGTGTACTCTGTTTATCAGACTCCATCTCCTGGTCTTCAGCGACAGGGGGAGAATTGGGTATGTCGCCTCAACAAGTCGTTGTATGGTCTTAAGCAGGCTTCTCGACAATGGTTTGCTAAGTTCTCTGAAGCCATTCAAGTTGCCGGTTACATCCAATCCAAAGCGGACTATTCCTTGTTTACATGCAAAAGAGGGAAATCATTCACTGCTCTCTTAATTTATGTAGATGATATATTGATTACAGGTAACGACATGGCTGCTATTAATTCTCTCAAACAGTTCCTTCATACCCGGTTTCGCATCAAAGATCTAGGTGACCTCAAATTGTTTTTGGGTATTGATGTATCTCGCTCAACTAAGGGCATTAGCATCTCACAAAGGAGGTTGGTGGATCACTAGGAGCACAACCTGTTTGTTTCCCTATGGAACAAAATCTCAAATTGTCAGATGCAGGTGATTTGCTTGCAGACCCAGCTAAATACAGGAGGTTGGTGGATCGTCTAATCTACTTAACTATCACAAGGCCCGACATCACATACGCTGTTCAGGTCCTTAGCAGGTTCATGCATGAACCTCGGAAGCCACATATGGAAGCGGCACTTCGCATCTTGAAATATCTTAAGAATACCCCAGGACAAGGCCTTTTCTTTCCAGCTCAAAATAATTTAAAGTTGAGTGCCTATTGTGATTCTGATTGGGCTGGCTGTCCTACCACTAGGAGATCCACCACTGGCTACTGTGTCTTTTTAGGGAACTCACTGATTTCTTGGAGGACAAAGAGACAGAAAACTGTGTCTCTCTCTTCCGCGGAGGCAGAATATCGAGCCATGGCAGGTACTTGTTGTGAACTCTCTTGGTTGCGAAGCTTGTTACAAGACCTACAGTTGTCACATCCAGAGGCAGCAACACTTCATTGCGACAACACAGCGGCCTTACACATAGCCGCCAATCCTGTGTTCCATGAACGCACTAGGCATATAGAGATGGACTGCCACTTTATCAGAGATAAGATTCAGGAGGGTTCAATTGTCACTAAATACATTGCTTCTGCACAACAGATAGCAGATGTGTTCACTAAACCTTTGGGTAAAGATGCTTTCACCAGCATGTTGGGCAAGTTGGGAGTTCTTGACATCCACTCTCCAACTTGAGGGGGAGTGTTGAGAATCATTGACTTAGCTACAGTTTAGGGATTGCTTTGATAGAATAGGAAAGCTGTAATTGATTGATTAGCTGTATATATTCTTACCTCTTTTATATTGCTAGATTGTAGAGATAGCCTCCTGATTCTAGGAAACTTTCTTGTATAAATCTCACCTATTGCTTAATGGAAAATTCATTCTGGCAAGTATTATCTTTTGCGTCAGTTTTACAGTTTTCGGGTGGTCACAAACCCTAATGATTTTATTTTGGTGGTCATAAGTAAATTCCCTCCCTAGTGGCATAAATCCAAATTGGTTATATGACACTTGATCCTTTGATTAGTCTTTGTTCTATTTTCTTTCCCCACAATTCCACAGTGTGACGAATCCATTTAAGTTCTTTATATTTCCCAGTTGGGAAAGGCACATTATGCATGCTTGAAATTTTCATAACAAATTACCTCATTGATGCACCGATTATCATTGGCAATGCACACAGCTGGAATGCCCTTCGATGCCCAACTCCATCTAGAATCCATCCACTAAATATAGATCCAAAAAAAGCATCCCCTAAACATGTACTCACTACTAGACCTTCATTGAGATAGAAGACATGAGATCAAATTATGAAATCCATTTAGCTAAGAGAAGAGCCAATAACACTAATTACCCTTAGCCAAGGGATTCCCACTGAAACCAAGGTCCATAGAAATGCTATCTAGTGTCTCATTAACCACTCTGCATTACCAAAAACAACAAAGAGTATGCTATATATAAGTTAGAAAAACATCTAAATAAGAAAAACAGAAAAGGAAATCTGAGTTTCAGCATTAGGGACGAACCCGAGATGGTAGCCAAATAAGAATGAATAAAGAGTTGCCACAAGCATATATGAGGCAAAAAGCGTCTCCATGAAGGGTTTCCAATACCTTTTTCATTCACTAGACCTACTAAAACCCATACAAGGAATCAGCCCCGAGTGAGTACCATTTATGGTAGTACGTTTGCACTTCAAACCAAATTATCAAAGACTAATGAAACTTCTAAATAGTAATATATAACCAGTACAAGAAGATGTACCTGAACTTTCTTCTCTATCATAAGCTTTGATATGGTCCTTCGACGCCACACGCTTGTATGCCGAGTAGGCATCGAGATGACGACCCCGCATAGCAAAATTGTAGAAACCTTGTCTAAAGTCTGACAGATAATATTTTCCAACCGATTGCAAAGACCAGCCAACCCCTCCAAGATGCCCTTGTCCTCTTCCACCATCAATTGCTGCTGAGGGAGTTTGTTGCTTACTTGCTTCGGAAGTCTGTAAGCCAAATTCATTTAATTTTACTTTATCTGGCATTTATATCTTACTATACTATTTTAAGTAATTATAATATATATATTTTTTTTCAAAAGCCAATTACAAATTCATACCATTTCCAGTAACCATCATGCGCTCTGCTCCTTCTGTTACTCTGGTTATTTCGACTCCAGCAGGCTCCCTGCTCCCTATCAATCCAGAAATCAACAAGATATAAGCCATGGAAAGAACAAAGAGAAGAGAGAGAGATGAAGAGAATCTGGAATACCTTGAGTCTTGAGATACCTGAGGCCGTTGAGAGACTCAACCAGGCTTTGAGCCCTGAAGTGGTTGAGACATTAAACTCAGACGTGCCTCAGATATTCGAGAAATTGAATCGGGCGGTTCAATTCCTAGATGATTGGAAAACCACGACCATTGTATCTGTTTGGGGGGCTGCTGTGTTCACCTGCTTGTCTTTGACTGTGACGGCAGGCTCATGTTGTATTATGGCCAGAGCCCAGAACGAAAGGGAAAAGAGAGATGCGGCTGCAGCTGCGGCAGCGAGAGCAAGCCAAGCAGCCCCTGCTGCTCCAGGACTGCTCGGGCTCCTGGGAGCGGGAACGGCTGCGGTAGCGATAGTGACAGCGGGAGCGGTAGCGGCAGCGGCAGCAGCAATGATAGAGAGAGCAAGAGCGGCAGCGGTGGCGACAGAGGCAACGGCGGCGGTGGCGGCCGCAGAGGGAGCGGCGGCGGCGGCCACAGAGGGAGCGGCGGCGACGGCGACATAGGGAGAGGCGGCAGTGGCAGGCCAAGCAGCCCCGGCATAGTTAGAGCTTCTGCATCTATCTTTTTTTCGGTCGAGACTCGAAAGCTTCTGCATCTATCTAGTAGACACCCAACTATATATCTAGTTTCTGGTGGATTAGCGTTTCTGTTCTTCAACTTCAATGAAATGAAATGAAACTTTATTTTATTATTGTCTTCAAATATTTTTGTTGGTATTTTTTTATGCACTTTTATTAGGATTTCCTCTTCATCATATATATTTTTTATGCAGCTGAATAAAAGAATAAATTAAATTAAAAGAATAAATATGTCACTTAATTCCAACATATTTGCTAGAATATATAAGTTTTATTAAAGTCGAATAAAGAGGTTTATAATTTTTGGGCTAGAGTGTTGAACCAAGTTGGGCCAACTTTGACCCCAGCTATGACTTTGGATCAAATTACATGTTATGTTGCCTATTTTGGACGAAATTCATCAACTTAGTTATGCAAAGAAAGAAAACTTTTGGTTGACAATCAAGAATTCAATCACTTCATAAACGATATTTATTCCAAATTTGGTTATAATTAACTAAGTGAGATATTTATTCTTTTAATTTATGTTATAATACAAGCCCGTTCTACAACAAAGACACCTTCAAGTGCTTGCTTATTAAATTGAAAGAAAAAAAAGAAACCCTCAATCATACTCAATATCAATATTAAACAATCTCTAGTTTTGTTCTGTCATGGTACAACAAGTTCTAACTACTATACAATACATATTGATCTTCTTTTAAAAAGAATAAAAGTAAAAGTAAAGCGGTAATTAACGGTCTTAATTTCCTACTTGAAAGTAAAAGCAAAGCGGTAATTAAAGGTCTTAATTTCCTACTTCTCACTAATTAGCATTTCGTGCCGTGGTAGTTAGGGGTGGGCATGATCCGGTTATGGTCGATTTTCGCCTTAAATTGGAACCGAAACTGGTACTATTTATCCGGTTCGGTTTGGTCCGATTTTAACAAAAAAATTTATAAAATTGTCCGATTAGGATTGAACGAGGAAAACCTAGAATACTAAACTTAATAAATTTGATATAATATTTCTAGAAACAATTAAACCGAGTAGTCTGAGTTTAAAAGAGACTAAATAGAGCCCAAAAATATTTAATGCAAAATGCATGCCAATCAACTGCATCGGTCACATGTTCATAATAAACATCTATTTAGACATGGGACATCCGATGTAGCTGCAACCAGCATCCTCTACAAATTATGTATCCTAATTAGCATTCTACTGTTTAATAATCGTATTATATAGGTACTACGTATTTTTCTAGAATACTTCCGTTTTCCGTACACATCTTAAAGACTCGGTAAAATACACAAAACCAAGCATAGCAAAGCAAACCAATGAGGAAAATGAGAATTATAACAAAAAGAAAAAGAAAATGAGAATTGTATATAACATACTCTTTGTTGTTTTCAAATTCTCAGAGCTTTTAAAAAATATAAATTTTAGAGGTCACGTTATTAAAATTCCTTAGATTAAATTTTAATGAGGTAACACTCTCTCTTATAAACACACAGCAAAACTTCATGATGGCTGAAAGTGTGAGTGAGAAGAAGATGAGGAAGAAGAAGCGTGGTTCAAGTAACAAAGAAGGCAGATTGACCAAGTCATGGCCATGTCTTCCACCACAGCTTGTCAACTTATTAAGCCAAAAGGACTCAACTATAATGCAAAACATGAGTTTTCAAGGTGTGTCCAAGTCATGGAGGTCAGCACAAGGCAATGCGATCCCAAGAGTCATCTTAATCCCAGACTTCTACACTTATTCCCTCAAAAATTGGCAAACCACACCCTTCACAAATAACTTCTTCTGGGACCCAAGGAAGCAACATCATCAGAATTCATCACACCGCCTTGTTGGGTCCACAAATGGCTTACTCATTGCCAAAGCATCTCACAATCCTCTTCAATATTGTGTGTGGGACCCAATTAGGAGCCTCAAGTTGGACCTACCACAGTGGGATGCCAATGTTCCATTTAAATGTGCAGCCTTGTCCTCAGCAGAGGAAGATAAATGTCATGGGAAATCTCTCACAGTAATGGTCTTAACTGGTATGAACCATCCAGCTTTCTTGTTCTACAAGATACAAGGAGGCAGTGAATATGCTTGGGTAAAACAAGATTGCACAATTACTGACCCTCAACCCCATTAGGACAAGTCAGAACGACACCACCCTTCACCATTGGAGATAGAGCATTGTTTGTTGGGGTGAATTGTTATATGGTAGTTCTTTTTCAAAGTATGTAAACTATTTTAAAAACATTTTTGTAAAAATAAAAATAAAAATACATTTTAAACAATTTAAAATAATTTTCAAAGTATGTAAACTTCTTTTTACCAATTATTTTGGAAACTAATTATCAATTACGTATATATTTCATGATCGTTTCAACGGAAAAAAATCAATTATATGGAGAAATTTTTTGGAACCCCCACTCTGGGCTCTAGTTTCAAAACTACAAGAAAATTTCTCGAAACTACCTCTTGGGCCCTGTGGCCCTTATGGCTAAGTGAGATTTTGGAAAAGGTTTGAGTTGGGTTTATAACATTATACCAGCCTTGTCAAAATGACATATGAGAGATGTGTACCGTCACACCGAAAATTTAATTGAGTAAAGACGTGCATTTGATATCATTACTAAATATGGATGAATTTTAGGTATTATTATTTTCCCACATTAATATGTTAATGTGATATAAAAAAAATATTGATTTTCAACAAATTAATAATACTTTTGAGCACATATATGTTGTTGGAACTCATTGTGATATTCTCCTCTATTTAAAGTTGTAAAATTATAAAAATTAATTATAAAAATAGAAAACAATAATAAAAATTCAACTTTGTTCATAAACAAATAAAAGCATCCTATCACATGCACTCTTGTTTCTTTCATCCAAAGATTCTCATGAATTAAAATATGCAAAATCATGATTTAGATCTCCATAATCGAACATTATGTTGTAAGGAGTCTCTAGTAATTTTCGGTGCATTTTCTAATTTTTATTTAATTTCTTATAAATTGTTTAAAATTAAAACACAATAAATACAAAGGAAAAAGACACGTGTTGTCATCCTATACGGCCACATGTCATAAATGGTGAAAATAATATGGGAGACATACTGCGAGGAAATTAGTTCCTCGTTAAAAGGCTTCTATTGTGGGGATTATATATTGTTTGTTGCAATAGGTTTGGAGGGAAATGTCAAAAATTCCCGCTACGTTTTTAGCGATGAAATAAATGGTGAAAATAATGAGGGAGACATACTGTGAGGACATCCATTCCTCCTTAAAAGGCTTCTATTGTGAGGATTATATATTGTTGGTCGCTATAGGTTTGGAGGGAATTGTAAAAAATTCCCGCTACACTTTGCGCGAAGAATAAACTATTCGTTGCTATAGCTTGGTCCAATTTGGAAATGAATTTCGGTCACATTCTGTGAGAAAATAACGTTTTCCTTGCTAAAGGGATGCTACTACGAGAAAAGTAGTTCCTCGGTAAAAAAATCGTCACTAAAGCCACATTTTGTTGTAGTGTGGTGAATGTGAGACACAATGGAGAAAGTAAAGTAAATATAAGTAGTAGAGGAAAAATTGGCAGGTCAAAAGAATCTCATTCATAGTAGGGAAAATTCAGTAGGTCCAAAAAGTTTCCTTCAATTATCATCTGCCTTTCTTTCTTTTTTATTTATGGTAGACATGCGCATTTGTTTCTTCTTTCTCTATTTGTGTCTAAAAGTATAACAATTTAACCTTAGATTAGCCTAAGGTTAAATTGTTTTTTCTTTCTCTATTTGTATTTAAAAGTATAAAAATTTAACCTTTGTTTCTTCTTTCTCCATGTCCTCATTAAAATTTAATCTAAGGAATTTTAAATTGACACATCATCTTTAAAACAAAGACCAAATTTTCTTATAAAAGAAAAAAGATAACTGACCAAAAATTGTGACCACCTCCCTATTTAAACCTCTCAACCAACAGCTGAGGTCCCTCTACTCTTATTCTCTTGCTTTGCGTCTCAAGGCCTCTTGCTACTTCAGAAGGACCAGCCATTTTCTACGCTTATCAAAGTCTCACCTTTACTTTTCTTTGTTATAAGTGATGTATTCCTTGACTCTAGCGTCTCTATTCCATGCTAGCTATGGTTGACTTTTGCCCTGATCTTGCCTCAATTTCAGGTCCAAACCTTGGCAGAAGCTTGGGAGTATACATATGCTGATCAGTTCTTGAATTATCTTCCACTACATATGATCATATCCTTATACTTTTATGTACTTGCTTGCAAATTGTACTGTTTCCTTATGGAGTCTCAGCTTACGTTTAGTTGATGTCTTCTGTGTCTTCTTTTTCTGTTAGAAACTTGATTGGAAATTCTAAGTCACACACTGAAATTTATCCTTGTTGGTTTATGGCTTTGATGATTGATTAAAATATGTTATCCTTAACATATAACATCCTTCAGTCCATACAAAACTTTAGGGAAAGAAGAGGCCATAGGGTAACTTTAGGGAAAGTTTGGGTTTTTGAGGGATATTGCTGTTCAAAGTATAAATGGAGAAATTTTAAAAACTGTGGTAAATAAATAAATTAAATTAAAAAAAAAAAAAAAAAAAAAAAAAAAAAAAAAACACCGAAATTGTTACAAACTACTGATGACATTGTATTCAATTAAAATGGTCTAAAATCATGATTCCAAATTTTTGAGTTCATGTTAATTGTTAAATTAAAGAATAAGAGTGTTATGTTATAGAACATAATTTAATGTTTTGGTTTGTTTTAAAAGAAAGTTGAGTTTTTGTTATCATTTTCAATTTTTATGAGTAAAAATTATATTTTTGGAGTTTTAAGGCTTAGATAATGTGACAATGAATATTCAGTGTAATTTTTGGATTTTTATTTAATTTATTATCAATTTTATAAGTTAAATCCTAGAAAAATAATATTAAATCGTATGGGGCGACACATGGCGGAAGCTGAATGAGACGCATTCAATGTGTCTGATGGCTGTCCTCTTGTCATTGCGCCACGTGTCAGTTTTATACTTTTATCAAATTTATGTTTAAAAATTCATAAAAAAGTTAATTAAAAAAATCAGAAAAATACACCGAAAATTACTACAAAGTCTTTATAACATTATCTTGGATTATAAAGGTGTAAAATCGTGATTCTACATATTTGAGTTCATGTTCAACGTTAAATCAAAGAATATCCAACGGGCATTCACCTAAAGGAATTGGGGTTCGCATACCCTGTTGACAGCTTGTGTCAAGGTGCCATTTTTTAATTGGGTACCAAAGTTCTCCTGGTTCCACCTCCTAATAGTGATAACCTGTTGACATTCTCATTTGCTTTAGTGACTTTAACTGCTCTTATGTTATTCCATACAAAATGCAAGAATTCCTTGATAACAGTTTGAGGTGGTTCATGTTGAGCAATTAGAAGTCCCACCGTAGTAGTTCTATGGTCAGGTCGCTAATCTAGATCTAGACTATCCTCATATGGATAGTATTCCATCATCGTCTGGAAACATAGCCATCAGGATCTGATAACAAAACACAAGACTAGAGGGACCAATATACCTCACACACTTTTGAGAAAAACTCATTATCGCCTAGACTAGGACTCTCAGGCCAGAAACGGCTCACATCAAGCTACTAAGGGCCAGACTACTCTTTAAAAACAAAGGCACGCTATAGTCGAGTGCAAGTTTTCGAAAAAAACCATATCAGTAATTTGAGTGATAATATATCGATCATGGTGATCGATTCTAGATAAGTAAAATACCACAAGTTTGATTATAAGCAGGTACAGTAGCAGTCATAGAGACTAGTTTCCACAAAACAACGGGTTTCAGGGCAGCATGGCCTTGAAGCTAACTCTAAGTACCAACAAACCAGATTTGTATCAACAAGCATCTTGGAATTATATATGTTAGCCAGAAAGAATCCCAGCATGGCTTGACAAAATACACCAGCAGCCAGTTGGACGTAGAGAACTCGAACATGAAAAGCTCAATTTCGTCATATAAAGACTAGGAAAGAAACAAGTATGTGACAAAAACCATTTTAAGAGAGAGTATAAATTCTGTAACAAAGCAAAAGAAACTAAAATTATGCTGCCAAAGAGAGAACCAAAAGCCCAAATTAAGGAGATATAAATCGCAATTACTAGTGTGATATATTAAATTTTGATGCCAAGATATTCGTATGGAAAATAAGAAAAGCTTTTTCGGTCAATACATTCATATTCCGCTCATCAGCACCCAAAAAGGAATTTATACAAATCGTGGCTAGGTGTCACAAATCCAATTACCAAAACTAACCCACTTCACAGGGCCGTCCTTGAGATTTTGAGGACCCTGTGCGAAACTTAAATACAAATTTTCCATAACTTAATGTCATAAACAATTTTTTTATAACTAAAAGTCTCCATCAATAAACATGTAATGACAATCAAAAATCAAATTCATTTAAAAATCAAATTCATAAAAATTTAAATGTTTCCATTTGATAAAGTTAAATTTTAGTATGTTTGGTACAAAAATAAGCTCCTTGTGCCCCTATAAGGCCCCTTTCTACCTCCTATAAGCTATTTGTGTTTAATAGGAAAAAAAATTGGCAATCACAAATTAAAGAGTACCTGTTCAACAGCTTCATTGTGATTATCAATATCAACATTTTCATTGTCGTCATTCTCATTCTTCTCAGCATTACCAACACATTCATCCATATATTTTTTCAATATCTTGCAATTCCTCAACATCATCTTCTTCTTGTTTATTGGAAATATTTTCATCAATTGAAGCATGTGATTCTTTAACAATGAATCTATCAAGATTCAAGAGCTCCTCTTTGAGATTGAGTCAATTCCTCGATTTTTCTTTTTCTAATTCGTTTTGTATATCCAAAAACTTATTTTCTAGTAGGTCGCATGTTTAGATTACAAAGAAAAATTCTAAAACCCTCTAACCTGGAAGAAAACCCTAGCAAGAAATAGATAAATATTTCTAAAAACCATATTCTCATATAACCAATCATCATCATGATAATAATTTAATAAAATAAGTCATGTAATAGATAGATTGAAATTTAGATATATACCTAAATTTGAAATGAGATTTGAATCCTGATTATTTGATTTTGAGTGGTCTTTATGAATTTAGGAATTAGGGTTTTCACTTTTTGGTGTTAAAATTCTTGAAATTGAAAGAATAACAAAAATTGTCAAAGGATTGATGATGATAATTACTTACTAGAAAATCAGAGTTTAAGGGAAAGAAGAAACCATGAAGTTTTTTTTTTGGTTTTGAACGAAGAAAGTACTTTCTTAGAGGGGAATATATATATATATATATATATATATTTTAAAGGTGTGTTTTTGTTTTAAATTTTAAAATTATGTAAAATTTGTTGTTAACTTGTTATAATAAAAAATAATATATAAATTTTATAATTATGTTAAGTTTGTTGTTAACTTGTTATAATAAAAAATAATATATAAAAAAGCGAATAGATTGGCTTTAATGAGAATCGAACTCATGCACCTCTATTAACGTTGGAAAGCCAACGCCACCACAAACACTTTTGTGCAAATTTTTAGCAAGTTATAGTATTAATATATAGAAAAATTCATATAGTATATATACACTCCCTTTTGTGCAAATATTTCCGGACTCATGCGCCTCTCTTCTTTCCATTCACCTTTCCTTGGTGGTTGATATATAGAAAAATTCATCTACCACTAATTGAACCTCTAGAGATAGAGGTAGGAGGTATGGAGCAAGGTCTTGCTTACTTTAGTTGTGCAGCCGAAATACCATAAGAAACAGAGGAACAAGAAGTAACGACGATTGTTTCCCCAAGGGTGATTTTATTGTAACTCCATAGTCTTCTCTTTTGACCCCACACTAATTTTAAACATGAACAACCTATTTTACCCTTGTATATAATTATTGTAAGGACAAAAAATATTTAAATTAAAAATTAAATTTACTCACTACACCCCACATACGTTCCTTCAACCCTAGTCAGACTTATTTCTCAAACCATCCTATTTCTACAATCCTAACAAGGTTTATATGCTTATATTGGCGAAAATAGGGGTGGGCATTCAAACTAGCAAACTGGAAATCCAAGCCGAACCGCACCGAAAAAAACAGAAAAAAATCGAGTTGACCAAAAAGTCAACAACTTGTCAAAAACGAACCGGACCGGTTTTGGATCTTGTTCTATGTCTTCAAAAACCGAACCAGTCAAATTAAAAAAAATATAAATTTTAATATTTATTTATATTCAATGCTATATTTTTAATCTCATAACTAATATTTATCCAAGTTCAATTTCAAAACATCTCTCTTTTCTAGCTTTAATATTTATTTTTATATGAAATTAAATAATTTATTAATTTTCAAGTCAAAAAAATAAATTAATAAATTAAACTTAGGCCATGTGAAATATGAGATTGCAACATGTATTTCCCTTTTCTTTTTTTTTGTTTCCTCTGATTCATGTACAATTAAACTTAGGCCATGTGAAATAGTTTTAAACCAAAAAGTGCTAATTAATAGTTTCAAACCAAAATTAAACTAAACTAAATACAACTTAGGTTATGTGTTCGAATCCCTCACCATATCACAATAGGTTTTAGTTTCAGGGTCTGGAAAGTATACATGTTGGTGTCCAAGTAATGTGCTGAATAAATTAAATGAGGAGTATATTTCGAAGTTTTAAAATCAAGTTTGGGTGTCCAAAGAATATTGAAATAATAATATAGGTGTCCAGAAAAACAACACTAAAACATTTTAGGAGCGAAGGTGGGTGTACGGCCCATTAGACTGGACCAAAGCCCAATAAATTCCTTGGCCAAATTCCGCGAGCCTTTAGACGACGGTCAATTTCTGCCGCCAACATCTTTTCCCCAATCTAACTAACGGTTATGTAGAAAACCCTAATCACTCAAAAATTTCAAAAATCCTTCCATCACCTAATCGCTCAGTTAAATTGGTGACGATTAGTGGGAGTTCGAAGCTTTGATTTTTCCTCGCTCCATTTTTCCTTGCCTGCATTTTCTTGTTCTGGTACTTTCGAATTTTAAATATTTATAAATCCTGATTTGTGTAAATTGCCTATTGCTAGGTAATTGTTCAACCCAGAAGATCTGATAGAAAGACCCAATTGAAGCCCTAGCTTTTCTGGTGGAAGGCAATTGACACCAAGGTCGAATTTGCAGTCAACAATTGCAGGTTAGTCTCTTTTCCTATAGGTAGATTGGCACTTTTGTGTGTTCTGTATTTATATCATATCAATAAAGCCCCTTTATTTCTCACCCAAAAAACGAAAAAAAGAAATTAGGGTAGTTCATAGGGTTTTTCAAGTGAATTCAGTGTTGATTTTGGGACATTACAACTTACAAGTTCTAAGCTTTTCCTTATAAATTTTGCACTAGGTAATCTTATTGCATTTTGTGAGCACATCCTGTCTGCCTTGGTCAAGAATTTACAAATTTTCATTGAATAAAGTTGCAATAGTTCTCTATTTGCATTATTCTTCTAGTGTACTCTGAGTTCTTCTTTCTGCAGATTGTTTCTTTTTTTGCTTATAGTTCCTTTATGAACAATTGCCCTGAATGAAACTGTAGGTGATCAGTCAATTGAATAAAATGTGCATTGCACGTTTAATTGATGACTATGTCTATGGCTCCATTAACTTCATGTTGGATATTGTGAAAAATATGGCATGCATGCATTGGATCAGCATTTGAGTTAGTTGTAGACTGGTAGTTGATTTTATCCTTTCTTTTTGATTGATGTGAACCATCAAATTGTTAGGGAAAAGGCTAATTTTCCAAACCAATAACCAACCATTCGACTATAATGATTGGCATTCATTTGTGATCCAATTCTGTATATTTAATGACATAGTTGTCTGGATAGTGTGAGGGTTTTGCCTAACATTTAGCCTGCTTGAAATGATTAATCTGACCATACCTGATCATGCTGAGTTTAGGAATATCTGGCATGACTAATCTCTCCATTTTGATTTTTTTAGTTTAAACGTATTCTAGTTGAAAAGTTGACAACAATTCCAGAATTAGTTAGTCCATATCCCAATGACTCTACCTTGATGAAAGGGATTTTCTGAAAAGACTTGCTTCTCTGATAGAACTGAATACTATGGTGGCTGGTTGATATAGGCTTTGCATAAAATTCTAACGTGCAATTTTAACTGGAGATAAATGATAACAATTTCTAAGTTGTTGAGTTAACAATCACTTTGGTTTGATCTGTAAGTGGACTGGATAATGGTTAATATTGCAGAGAGTAACAATGATCCGCGGGGAAAAGTTTTTGCTCACCTAATCTCCAGTTTCAGCACTCATGAATCTAAATTTATTTAGGAGTCTAATTACTAAGAAGGGACAAATTGTGGTGGAGGATCTATTTTTGTTTTTGGAATCATATATTGCCTCAGTGTTATCCTCGGGCGTTCATTAATGAATTACATAGAATTGTTCAGAGACTCATCAAATCTATTCTGAAGAACATACTCCACAAAATGTCCATAGCATTTATTTCATTTCTGTTTAATCTATTCAGTTTTGCTTGGCGCTACTAGGTGGTAGCTTTTCACCTGACTTCCAAGACCACCATCTCATCTACTCTTCAATAGCTAACTGCCACTCAAGGGTTGGATAGGAAGTCTGCTTTCTCTGCAGGATCGTATGAGCTTCATGCTAGTGCCAAGATTGAGTGGCGTGGCATCCTTATTTGACCCAATTTTCAATGAGACCACATCCCAAGGTGGATGGTCTTTTTACGTGTCATGGAGTGTCTGCCGCCATGCGAATTGCGTGTCGTGTTAGTTTTTATTTTTTATTTTTTATTTTTTATTTTTTATTACGAGGGTAGGGGAGATTAGAATTTGGAACCTCTTCCAACATGGAGAAGAGAAATATGAACAAACCAAGTGCTACTCGGTGCATGAGTTTGCTTGGTGATCTGAAATTTATGACTAAATGCCATGTTATTGGTCTTAGGTGACTTAAATTACTATATTGGAAGATGTTCATGGATGTTCTGAGCAAGTTCTTTCTGATGAATGATAGTCTTGAACCTAGGAATTGTTGGACCATAGAATTCCATATGATGGCGAGAGGTAGGCGATTTAGCTGTATTTCTTTGATTTTACTAGAATATATTACCGTTTTTCCAAGGTGGCTCATATCCGGTTTAACAACATGTGGTGATTGTTTAATGAAATTCAACCTGATTTGGAACATGTTTACAGTGTAAAACATCTACTGGCTGCCATCTTTGATATATTATCTTTTTTATGTAGACTAATCTCTATGATTCTTCTCTTCTTGTAGTGACATATGCAATTGTATGATGAAAACAAGCATCTTTTAGTCTTTGAGTTTTCGTAAAGTGAATGCGATAATGATATTTAAGCAGGAAACGGAATAACTAATCTCTATTGTAATTTGTATAATAAATGATGAGATGTTTATACAAGGAACAAGTAAACCAAAGTTGAAGGAAACAGTGATTTGGAACAGGACATAAGATTGTTAATACTTTCTCTAAGCAAGTTTAATATTCTTCTTTGACAACCTTTTCTTGTTTGTATGGCTTTCCCTCTTTTCTTTTGAATCTTTTTGTGGACTGCATCATTTCAGGTCTTCCCCCACCTCAATTTTATCAAAGCTGCTTCATCTTTGCCTTGCTTTTCCAAATAAAAAAAAAAAAAAAAAAAAAAAAAAAAAAA